GTAGAAAACGAAGTGAGTTCTGTGATTCTCAGGTATGGCATTGGATTGAACAGTTTGGAAACGCCTTATCCTTCCTTTTAGCTAACCAGTAATTGTGCAATCGGTTGGAAGAAAGGAATTTAAAAGGAAACAAAACCGATGAATAGAGAGGAACGACAATAAATTTTAGAAAAAGCAAAACATGTTATTTAAGCAAATTGCAAAACAATTTTACAAATTTTCTATTCAAAGAAAATTGATATTTTATTTATTGATAATTTTCTATAGTTAAAATAATAAATAATTTTGTTATTTTTCATAAAAAATTTTTGATAAAAAAATAAATTTTGAACGAATTTATTGCACATTTCAAAAATTTAATTTGATTTATGAATTTACAAATCAAAATTTTAATTGATATTTATTTTATTTAAATAAATAAAATATGATTGATGAAATCGCTATAAAAAAATTCATGTCAATTCTATAAGTTTAAATCAGAGGAACATTAACAATATCATTACAAATGATCTAAGGCAATGTCAAAAATACATACATCATCGCATTTTTCACCGTCTGGAATGTTCGAACTTCGTCACAAAAACTTCACAATGATTAATCCTTCCGGCTACGCATCGCTTTTTAAATTTTCATTTGCGATCTTGAAATTTTTGAAATAGCGAAAAATTTTTTCAAAAAACTGCTATAATAATAAATATAATAGTAATAATAGATATAATAATAAAATATTATAATTTTAGGCAAAAATAAATTTTTTGACGTAAACAATTGATTCTTTTTTATAATTTTTATAAAAAGAAAAGGAGGAAGAATTTAGCTGAAATTCATATTTTGAATGCAGAATTAAAAAATTTTTTTTAGTGTGAAAATTTTAAAGAAGCAAACAAATTGGCAAATTGGTTTCAGATAAACCGAAATGATAAAAGAAAAATGATATAAGATAACCATCAAGAAATTATTCTGCAAATTCAATCATTTCATAATAATTATCAATTAAAATAACCGAAAAGATCGTAAAATAAGCCAACAATAAGGCTGTACTGATGGCAAGCGTAAAAACTGGTAAGAGATTTCGAAGAGTGGTAAAAATAAAATTTCATAAAATAATGAGCTGCGCAACTGATATTCTTCGATAAATCTAAATTTTTGTTGGAAAATTAAAGTTTTTAAATGTCTATCTTTTTATTTTTGAAAAAATGCTTCATGAACTGATAAAATTGATAGAAATTGATAAAACGTTTCTTTAAAGAAATAACGCCAAAAATTGTCGAATGGGCCATAACAGAGTCAAATTACTGTTTTATCACCGTTTTTCATCAGTTGAAGATATTATCAACTTCTAAAAACCGTTTTTCGAAGTGCATAGTTTTAGAAATGTACTATCCTTCCAAAAAAATGTCCTTGCATCGGATGTACAATTCCGGCCAACAAATTTTGCCACAATTTTTATATGATAATTATCGCATATATTAGTACTCCAGATTGATGGTAAAATAAATTACAATGTTCGTTTAAATTTTAAATATACATTATTTTTTTATTTCCTTCTTCCAACAGCACACGCATTTTGGTTTGCCTGCCTGAATTGCATATTGGGATGAAGCTTCTTAGTGAGAAATTCACCAGAGGACAAAAATAGACCTCTCAGTACCATCAGGATTTCATTTTTAACAACAGGTTCACGACATGTGAAGGGATCAAAGTTATAAGTACTGACTGGAGAAACCAATGATCAATGCAGATCCTCTCAAAAAAAAAAACAAAAACTTTGAAAAAAATATCAGATAGCAAGCAATTTATCAACTGCTTTAAAATCAGATAACAACAATAAACAAAATATGGTATTAAAAGAACGAGAAACCGAAACCTTCAGCGAAAACAACATAAGGCAGATCGGCTGATGAGATAACAAAACATCGGTGCAAAAATCGATCGTGAGGAGCAAAGCTGGTTTTGTCACCACCTTGAACGGATTATTCACAGATTTTTCGCAATAATATAGTTGTCCAGTAGAGTTTGGATTGGCTGTTTTACGAGAAATTAAGATTATTGCAAAAATTTGAGGCATTAAAAAATTTAAGCGTATTGTCGCATATTTATCAATTCTTCTTCTTACAGTATCCACCATTTACGGTTTGTCTGGCTTCATTAACTACTAGCAGAATAATAGTCTATGGTGATGGATTCACCTAGTAAATACAGATCGCCAGCACGACTCGAATATTTTTTCACTATTAATGACACGGTTTACTCCAAAAAAAGATACATAACGAAGCACTTATACTCGTTCTAATTGATTTTCCTAATTATTTTGCAGCTTTATCAATCAAAATGAGAGAACAATTGAAACGATGCTTCTCATCAAGAACTGGGAAATATTAGCATTTACCAAATCAGTTATACGTCTATCATCAAGTGATTCCTTGCTTTTAGCAAAGATTTCTATTTAAGAAGTCAGAAAAATGGTGCTAATTGATTTTAAAAAAATAATAATTATCACAGGAAAAATTTTTTAGCGGAAACGTTTAAACCGAAAAATTATCATAACAAAAAGCTATAGAATTCATTTATTTGTGCTAATAATTTCAATATGCAATATATAATAAATCTAAATTGCCTTATGGCAAATAAAAGACAAAAAAAATTTTTTTTGCATTTCCCATTAATATAGCATTAATGTAGCGGATAGAACGGCTCAGTGGGTTGTTGCTCAATTAGGAGCGCCGATGCTGAGGTTCGATTCCACGCAGCAGTAAGCCTGTACAAAAATCCGAGTGATGCTCCGAGTGAAGCGACTCATCTGTATTTCTATCACCAAGGAACTCTCTGGCATATTGCATAATGCGATAAGCCAGTGGAGCGAATTTAATCAGTAATGGTGAAGACTCTTCAAAAAAAATATCACTAATATAAACTTAAGGCGCTGTAAAAAAAAAATAATTTTAATTTCAGAAATTTAGCCACAACATTCACTCATTTTCAATTCATTTACATACTGCCATAATCATTTTAGCAAAACGCCGATTACGTTTCAGAGATTTTGATTGAACGGAAAGAAACGCAGAATTTTTTTACTTATCGTTTTAACGATATCGCTCGTTCAGATTTATCGAATAATTTGTGAAAAATTTTTAGAGATTTTTCAATTATTCATAATTCAGTAAGTTGAGAACCTTTCATTTAAATATTTATTGAAATTTATCACAAAATTTATCAAAATTTTCGACAACACAACGTCCATTCGCTCAAATTTATGCTATGCGCTTTTCAATTTCTATAATTTGCATTCGTGTGAACTGCGATCGTTTCGTATTGAAGAAAAAAAGAAATCCATTTGAGCGATAAAAAAAATTTTTATTTATAATTGCATTTCCAAAAATTTAATATTATTAATTCAATAAAAATTCAAGTACGTTGGTAAAAAAAAAAAAAACAAGTGATTTTGATCTAAAAACAAATTGTTTTTTGCAAATTGTTTAGGTGATAAATAATAATTGATCATGCAAGCAAGCAAAAAAATAAACGCTCATTCGAATTAAAACATATTGGTAAATCAAAAAAAAAGTAATACAATTAGAGATCAAAGATATATTTACATTAACCACAATTATTGTGATAATTTATGATAAAACAATTCAGTTAAAATCTAAAAACCACCGAACTCCAAATATTTGGATATCGCATTATTTAATATGATTACTATTTTTATTCATTTATATTTGGAATACTGTGTTCATGAAAAAATTAGCAACATAAAATATATAAGCACCACTGAAATGTACCAAGACTAGAAAATTGAAAAATCTTAAAAAGTATGATTTGGCCTATTGGTATGAATTCGATGAAAATCGCCTTTAAAGCCTTTAAATCTTTTATCTTCCAGTGAATTTCTTATATCTTTTCTCTTATGGATTGTCCTTTCAATCATCCACATGAAATTGAATTTCAATTAATCTTTTAATAACATTTTTTTTTTATTAACCTAGTTTTATATCTCTTATACTACCAATAGAATAAAAAAATTCCTTTCCAACTCAAATTTAAACTGTTTCCTATGTATAGGAATCAGGGGGTGATACCTAAGCAATTAAGGATGTATTGTAGAGGTTTTATGAGAAAATTCCTCATTAATATATTATAACAACATTCAACGACAAAAATTACAAACCGAAAAAATTACACACAATTTTTACATTAAAACTTTTAAAACCAATAAATAAATTCAAGCTAAATAAATTTCAAGGTATTAAAATTCCATAAAAATAAAATAACGCTGGATTCTGATTATTTATTGACAGAAAGCAATGGAGACTTAAGGGTCATTGTCTATCTGCGATCAAAAGGACAAGGTGAATTCGCACTACCTTCGTTATAACAGGTAAATTGTTCAATTATACAAGGAACAACCATAGAATAATATAAATTTTCTTTTAAAACACCGCGCCTGTGTTTTTCACACTTTACAGAAAATTTAGATTGGGTGAAATTCCAGAATGAATTTGAGTACCAACTATGAAACTTGGATTATACGTAAATTTTTCGTGGGCAATTTTCAACGTAAAAACTATTACTTCTAATTTCTACGAGTTTCCTGGCGACACTGTTGTGAGGGTGGGTCGCCCAAAGCCCGAAAATAATTCAGGAAAATTTGGATGACCTGTAAAAAATCAACTATTTAAATCAACTAGGCATACCCAAAAATAGATACAAATTTAAAAAATTTTTTAAAAATTGTGAAAGACGAGAGTAACTTCTTTCTAACTTTTCGAATTGATCTTTTATTTATTCTTTAGCTAATTTTTCTCGACGTTTTAAATTTAATTCGAAATGTTTAAATGAAAATTTCAAGCATACTATGAATACTATTATGAAAAGCAAAACTACCAGTGTCCAAAAAATGAAACAATCTAGATCTAAAATCTCGTACTTAGTTATATAATTGGATGCAAATATAAACATACCTAAATAACAGCATATATAAAACAATTCTTGAAAATGAATCATAATGCAAGCACAGTCTGACCACAGACAAGATTAGCAGCTCGATTTTCCAAAGAAGCATTATCAATATCTGAAATACACCATTCACCATGACCATTCAAATGCAGTTCAACATCATGAAACTGTCTAAGCGAATAGCGATGCCCGACTGAGACATAGGATATATTTTCCTAAAAATAAAAAACATAAAATTGGCAATTTAAAAACGAAAGATATATGGAGCTTTGTGCATGACACTATTCAAAATTTTTTCAAACATGTAATCTTACATTCATTTAAGCCAACAGTTACATAAAAATCAAGATAAAATAAATAAATTCAAAGAATAATTTTGTTTAATAAAATGAAACGATGAAAAAACGAGTTTGCCGTAAATCTACATTAATATGGAAAATTGCATGATGCTGCCATTAAATACCTCTTGAAGTAAATGATAGAGAGCCATTTCCGCCTCGAAGCCGATGGCACTTGTTGCTTCATCTAGAAACGCTATACGCGGCCGATGATATAGCAATCGACCTATTGAGAGACGTTGCAGCTCACCTGGAGACAGTACTTCGGACCTATAAATATAGCATAGACGAATTAGCACAATTCACTAAGAAATTTAAAAATTTATACTTTTCCAAAAAAATTTAAAATACAAAATATTGACTTTGCGAAAACAAACTGCGACTGGCATTTCATGACTTTTCCTCAAAAACCCAGTTTTCTAAGCTGCTTACGCCAACAGCCGCTGTAATCTCAGTTATAAATTGTAGTCTCAATCATCCTAACAATATCTTATTAAATTTTGTAAATCTTGCGTACAAAAATTTCTAAAAACGAAATCTAATAAGGTGGACCTTATCAAAAGTACCAGGAGCATAATTTCTTAAACTTCCATCACCACCCTAAAATAAATGTATATTGGATTTTATACCACAAAATTTTTTAAAAATTACGATAGCCACCCTTTAAAAAAATTAAACTTTATCGAACAAACCAATCCCAATCTGTTGGAGTATCAAATCCATTGCATCGCTGCAAAAGTTGTTCCATTTTTATCATTTCGAGAATTTGTGTCAAGCGATTCATTTCTAAACCTTGTAAATTAGAGTTCAAGACAACAGCACCACTAAAAGTTCAAATTCTAAAAAGCAAACAGCATAACTGAAAACATCAATCTATCCGCAAATCTGAAAAAAAAAAATCTTTTTTCATTAATGGAAACGACCAAAAAGAAAAATCTGTGATAAATCAAATTAAATTACCTTTTTCTAAAGGCAATGCTTTTAGTGGATATACAAGCTGCTGACGAAGAGTACAACCACCGCTTGGAAAATACGGTTTCTGTGGTAAGAATAACAGTGTTGATGGCCGAGATTTCCAATGCCTTTCTATCTTGCCTTAAATGTTCGAGAATAATATGCAGAAAGTAAAAAGCTTCTCCAGCATTAATCAACGGTAAGTTAGAAATAAAGAAGAAATAATATTAAGAAATAGAAACCGGCAACACAGTTCCAAAGACCAGCCAAAACTCTTAATATTGACGTCTTTCCGGAGCTACTATCACCTGTTATTAGCATATTTTTGCCTTGGATTATCTGCATCGACAAATCTTAAAAGAACTTTGAATGAATTTGACAAAACAAAAAATTAATCTACTTTAATATGAAATCGAATTAAAAATTTTTTCTAATATGAAAATAAACTATATCTGAAGTGAAATCGAATCTAAAAATCAAAAAGTCAAAAAAGCATAATCCATTTTTTAAATCAAATGTTTCGCATGACTTCATCTCAGGATGGCCAAAATGTTGATTCTATAAGCATCATGAATTTGAGCGTCTCTTGACGGAAGTAAACCCATGATCAAAAAAAAAATACGGGTGATGGTGCGACCCAGCAGTGATAGTGCGACCCAGCAGTTCTGTCCTCACATTATATTTTTATCACCATATGATTTTTGAAGTGAAAGGATCTCATTCTAGAAGTGCTAGTCTAAAGTGAATATTTTAGAGTAAAAAGAAAGTGGTAAGCCTTTACTATTAGTGGTTAGACTCGCTTTATTGATTATTAAGAAAAATGATGAGATCTTCCCATCATCATCTTATCACTATTAGGCGAAAGGCAAGATTTCAATAACTAGAAGTACACGTGGGTGGGAAGTTTCGCGAAATGTAAATTATTATTTTAGTTATTTGAACCTCGAGATTTCAAAAGGTACCTATTTGCAACAGAGGAAATAACATTAACATGCTATTTCATATACTGGTGAAGGTTAATTCGTCAGTTAATTGAGAATGGCTAATATAAAGCACAAAGTTAGAAATGACCTCACAAATCTTTAAAAGAGCAGAGTCTGGCTGCACGCGAAAATTCATAGCATCCTTTATGCGTTTTCGGCTATTTGTGAGCGATTTTTTCGTACAAGTATCACTGAGATTTTTTAATATGAACTGTCTCCTATCGAAATAGGGGCCGAAGCTCGATGCTCGTATAACATAATTTGAAGGACAATCAGTAGGACATTATCCTATCCCTACCGTTAGGCAAAAAACAAGATTTCAGCAATGTATGTAAAGATTAAGTAAATAAAAGCGGAAGAATATACTAGAAACAAGTGGAGATGTTACATCACTTGGTAAAACTATTGTAACAGAATCAAGAGTCATTGAAATACCATCATCAAGCCATTCAGGATCATCTCTGATTCGATTACCATCAGATCTGTATAGTAATGAAATTAAATAAAATTTTTCTCCAGCAAAAAATTAAAAGGAAAAGCAAACTGATCAGAAAATGACGAACCTTTCTAAGAGATATTCTGCCTCTTCATCATCTGAATCTATATCAAGAAGGCGACACTGTTTTCCATGGAGTTCCTCGACCTAAAAACATGAGCTTAAAACATCTGCCATATGGAACCTTTCATAAGATTAAGAAATAAGACAAGACATAAAAATCAATGCGATAATCCTGAGAAACACTAGAAGCGCAAATTCTGACTTATAATAAAAAGAAAAATTTACTTACAGAAGCAAGAAATATAGCTTAAAGATATTTAGAACTAAAATGAACTGAACTAAAATGAAATGATATAAATCCTGCAACTATGGCTACATACCCAAGACAAATAACCAAAAAAGAACCCGTCTCTGAGGCACATCACTCTTTTCACTGTCTTCAGTGGCCATCACAACAATAGATGAAGGAACTGTTGATGGAGGTCGGTCTGTTTCAAGTCGGTCTATGTGCAAACGCATGAGCTCTTCATACAATCCAATAACTCTAAAAGATGACTGCTATTTATTTCCATTCTGATGAAAGCAAGACCTTTAATTTGGTAAAGTGTTAATAAAGATGAAATGCTTAAAAAAATCAAATATCAGTGAAAAACAACAGCAAAAATGGTAAAATAAAAATCTTTAAAAGGTATGTTATGTCTATGAATGAAATTGAAACTAGCCTGTGCGTAACACCAGCCAAATCACCAATGGTTTCCGATAAAGATATTAATCTAGTGAAACTATAGATAAGATACAAGTAAAAAAATGCATTCTGAAAAAAATATCATTAAAACAATACGCTAAGGAGATAAATAAAAAATATTTAAACCAAAAAAATGCAAAAAATATAAACATGCAAAAAATTAACGTACACGGCTAACAACGCCTGATAATTCGGAACCAGAAAGCCCCTCATAATCATTAGTTAAAAATATTGGAATCGCAATAATTAAATAACTCAATGTGCCACCAAAATAGTCAAAAGCACTAGTTGCCACTAAAAAACAAAAAAAAATTGGAAAATAGGAAAGAAAATTGTAATGTTCTAATTTAATTAGTGAATTATTGCAAAATATTGCTCAAACTGATAAAATAAGTCGTAGGTATAACTGAATTAGTAATTTTGTAATTTTCAAATGTTAATCACAAAATCACTTCTGATATGCAAACGAAACACTACAAATAATTCATCAAAATTCTATCGTAGAGATTAAAATTAAAGCAATTTCAACTTCTAATTAAAAAAAGGAAAAAAACTCGATAATATAAAATCTCCTAAACCTGATGAGGTTTAAATCCTGAAAAATATAGTCTAAGGAACTTTAAATAGTTTATATACAAACTCACAACATAAAGCGAAACGCCATTCAACAAGCCTTTTCTGCACATTAATTAAAGAATTAAGTTTTTTGTTCATCATTACATTTTCAATTAGCCCCGATTGATAAAAAGCTATTGATTCAGCATTAGTTCGAACCTCTACATGTCTCAATCTAAAAAATTTATGAAAAATATTATGCTTTGGTACTTTCATTTGAAATTATTGACTTAGATCACAAATAATATTCAACAATTTTCTAACTGCTAACTGCTGCATACTACGAATTAATCGAAATGCGATTTTTAAAAGTTAACAAACCTGAATTCACCTTCCTTCTTTTCTTGTTCATTTACGAGAGCAACAATCGGTGACAATAACAATTTGTTGATTACTGTTGCTATCATAAAATACGCATAAATGGCTAACGGTCCAAGCCAACCAGAACTAAAAAAAGATAGAAATTCGTTTTAATATAGATATATTTTAAACTTCATACAATAGTTACTGATAGCTAGCCAAAAAAAGTTTTAGCATTAGGGTATCTGAGTTGTAAGACCAAATACTGATGGAAGAATGGTTTGTAATGATTTCTCCAAAGGTGTTTTTGAACAATTAAAGGAGAAGAAAATTTTTAAGTTTTAAATATGTGACAATCAAATTTCTTCTAACCTTCCGTAAGTTAAATATGTATAATATACGATAATAAATGGTGATATGAAAATGGGAACAAAAAGATCTTGAGCCAAAATCCTAGTAGTTTTTTCGACATCTTGAGTCATTCGCTGATCCCTAAATATTAAACTTTTATCAACAATAAAAGCGAAAGAAAATTGTTTTAATGGAAGATGATATAACCCAACAATTTTTTTTAAAAATGATTTTTAAAAAATTTAAAAATAAAGCAATCTAATAAATATTTTCGAAATTTTATTAAAAGTTGTCAAGCCTTTAAAGTTTTTTCCACTTTTTCCTCAAAATACAGAGATATTTCCACTAAAATTTGTTTAAAAAATTGCTATTGAAAAAACAACAAAAAAAGGAAAGAATGATATGCAATGATACTTTCTACCATTTAATCAATCGCACTATGCTTTAATCACAAAATTCCTCCGATTCAACATCAATTTCGATAAAAGCTGTACAGAATCGCACGCACGATTATAGAAAATAATAATACTCTTTGCATTCTATTATCCACATTTTTAATGTTAAAAAGAAAATAAACACAAACGGATTATCCACATTTTCGCCCAAAACATTGAGACGATAATAGGCATGGCGTTTAAAATACAATCGATGCAAAGTATAGCCAAAAATTTCACGAAATTTTAAAAATAATTGCGATGTTGAATATTTTATTGCAGATAACGCCTAAAATTTTGGACGTGTTATATCAGCTTAACAAGTCAACAAATTACTCTTGATAAATAATCGAAATCGAAAGAAAGTATGCAAAGTAAACAAGTCTGATTCGTAATTAATTTACTAAGTAAAGTTTTCTTAGCCATGAAAATAAAACTTTTGTTAAAGAATAAATTATGAAATAATGGGAAATAATAATACTAAAAATGGTGCCAATGACTTTTGGGCGAAAAAAGTGACTAGAAAAACGAACGAGTGCTTTGCCCAAAATAATGACTGTCGCTTTAGCAGCAAGTAATCGAAAAGTTGAAAAATCACGATTACCCAATGCGACGTAAAATTCACTCGGTAATATACCAACGAAATATGTTGCAACTTGATCTAAAACATTCACTTAGCTATGCATTTTTTTCTATCACTAATATACTAATGTTTTCAATTTAACTAAAAAACTTTCAATTTAATTAATGCGTTAAAATTAACTAAAGGCAAAACTAAAAAAATGATTTGCAAATTCACGAAAAAAAAAAGATCACACCGGGCCGCACTTTTTTCTTCAACGACCGTATTAAATATTAAAAACATGGAAACGAGAGTAATTTTTTAAATAAATGTATTACAAAAATTTTTTTTAAATTCATAAATTAATTAAAAATTAGTTATAGAAATAATCTCGTCGTAGAAAAAAAATTTATCGAATTTTCTTTTCCTTTATAACCACTCAAATTATTCATAATGAGGTAATTTTTTATAAGCAAATAAATGAGATTCTAAAAAATAATTTTTTTTTTATTTAAAATTACTAAATAATTTTAAAAAATAGCGAACCTGCAGCCGAAACAATAGCAACAAAAAGCGCGAAATGAATCGACGTTGGAACCACTAATCGATGTCGATCAAATGGAAATAAGATTTTCAATAATGTGATAAATCGCCGAACAAATAAGAGGTCCAACGAGAATTTTTTCATGATTTTATTGAAAAAATTTCAACAATAAAAAATTCTCGTAAAAAATCGACAATGAAATTGACCCACTGAAAATTAAAATTCCATAAAATTTCACTTTGCAAATTTACGGCCCACTAACGAATGTACAACTATTCGCGGTCCGCTTTATTTCACCTTGTAATTCACAAATATTTTGTTAAAACTTCGAAATGAATAAAATGAAGAATAGAGATTTTTTAATTAATTTGCTTGAATTTATAAGAATGAAATGTTTATATCATTTTAAATAATCAACTTTAAATGATTTTTTTTGGCCATTTTTTACAAGTTTTTTTCCTCTTTTTAGTAAAAATATTTTAAATATTTTCTAAAAAATATGAAAAAAATTAAAATAGCATATATGCGAAAACAATATAATCAGAAAATGATGAAAAGGAGACGGATCGAAACCTGGATTGGTAGAATCGAAAGAGACTGTGAATGCATAGCTGCATAGTTGAGTCACAAGTGGGAAACGAAGGATAGAAGAGGGATAATTTCGCATAGGATTGAAAATATTAGAAATATTAGTGGTTATCATAGCTTATCATTTCTGGTTAGCCTCGTCGCATTTCCTATTAACAAGTGAACTTTATAGTTCGCAGTTCTAGTTTTTTAACAGTCCTCACTCATTACTGGTTAGACTCGCTGCACAGGCTTATCGCATCTAGGCAAATATGCCAATGAGTCGCTAGCATAAATCAGATTTCTGGTCGCATTTACTGCTGTGGGGAATAGAACCTCAGCATCGGCGCTCCAAATCGAACGAATACCCATTGAGCCATTCTACTCTCTACAAAAAGTATTCAACCAAATCAGAAATAATTTTCATTGTTCGAAGAAAGAAAATCTGACTTAGAAAGATATTAACCAATAAATTGAAAAGAACAACGAAAAAAAAAAATTTAGTTAAAATTAATTTCTATAAATAATAATGAAAGAAAAAAAAAATACAAAAATGAAATTCGAAATATATAATATTAACGAATGAAAGAGGCTAATTAATCATTAGTTTACTTACTATAAGTAACATTAATCAGGTTTTTACAGTTAGGCATATAACAGAAAAAATAGAAAGTAGCAGCTGTCGTCTATTCTTTTCTCTTCGATAAACGATCATTCTTTATTTTAAAAGTGATTGTTTAAATATATTGAGAAAGAATTTTTCAATTTATCTTTCTCTTAGAAATTATATATATATATTTTAAAACATAAAAATTAATAAAATTATATATAATTGGAGCATTTAAAGCCATAAACTAGAAAAGTGATTTCAAAAAACAACTTCAGCGATCTCTTTCCAGAAGAGCGCGCAATTAGAACAGTTAGAATATTGCGCAGAATCCTCAAGCTTTTAAATCTCTGGAAGAGAATCCAAAGTTGAAGATGACCACCCTATAGGAGAGACGAGGAGTGAGAGAAAAGTTTTTTTTTTTTTTTTAAATGAATAATAGAAGTATGAAATGGGAAGAATCATTTTACGTTTAGGAAATACTTTTTATTTTTTGCCTATTCTATGATTCACTGAATTATCATTTAAAAAATCACTGTTATCAGTGTGAGAATCACAAATTATTAGATTATTAGATTGCTGAAAAGCATCGTTATTCGACGCGAAAGTTTTTGATCCTATAAAATTTTCAAAACATTATAGAAAAACCATAAAATAAAAAATAAATTGACTGATATAACCTTAATTAATTAATTAATGATTACAATTATTTTTATGGATAATTATTTAACAATTTTTTTATTTGAAAAGGAAAATTCATCGACAAACTGGTTTTAAGACTTTTTATTTGAAATGATAAAGTTACAAACTGTTATTAAAAAGAAGTTTTAATAAAAAAGTATATCTATCCAATAAATTTCTAAAATTTAATTTAGACTCCTTTCATATTTTCTTTGGCTTTCTCGATTCTCAATAAATTTTTAACGAGACAAGCAAATTGTCAATTTAAAGATAAGAAAGAAACTTCTTCACTTTTCTATAATTTAAGCAACCAAGAATGCTCCTAGAACTAACAATCACAAACTACGTCGACGGCTCAGTGGCAAGATAATTGCCATCGATAATCGAGGATTGTTTTCGAATTCGCCGGCGCATCATCTTTCGTCGGGCGGCCTAAGGGAGAAAAGAAGGAACTTAGAATAACTCAGTGGGTTGTTGCTCAATTCGGAGCGCCAATGCGGTTTTACTCTCGGCAGAAAATTAAAAAATCTGTCTAAAATTCCGGATAGTGCTAGCCGAGTCTAACCAGTAATGATGAGTGCTCTAAAAAAAGTCACAGACTACGACATATGAATTAAAAAAGCTTAATAAAATAATCAATCAGTGATCATTTTTCACCAGGTTTAATAAAATGATTTCATAAAAATTTCGGTTTCAGTTTCAGCGAGTTGCGGTTGGCAAATCTTTTTTTTAAATCACTAATCAAATGGAATTATCATAGGCGTATACATTACTGTGCATTATTGTTTTTGACGATTTCCACAGATCTGGGAATTTAGTGGATTTTCCCGCATTATAATAGAGATGTGTAAAGTATGGGATGCGTGAGAGCAGTATGAATAGCAAGAGAAACGTTCTTTTAATTCTTCTTTTCTTTAATTCTTCTTTTTCTCTTTTAACTCTTTTTTCCACCCTTGTATGACGATAAAGGGCGAATAAAATAAGACTTAGTAAAATAGCAAAAAGAGCGAATAAAGTAGAAAACAAAAATAGCGAATAAGGTGGATTTCAATAAACTTATAGGTTTTGCATACTTTTTTCTTTTCTCACAGATAAAATACTGTTAAGAATTAATTTTCGTTTAATTTTCCGAAGAAATGAAAAAATAATTTTCCGAATTTTAATTTTCCGAAGAAATGAAAAAATATATCAAATATACTATTCCACGATTATTCAATTTTTCACGTCTATGGTTCATGAAATGTCAGAAAAAAGATTCCAAATTTATATTCAATATGCGTTAATTTTATTGAAATTTCTTATTATCCTCAGACGGAAGGCAGCAAATTTGTGAAAACAAATTTGTAAGCAAGGAGGGTAGAATAAACAACTTAATTTATAATAAAACTTAATTTAAAATGCATATCTAAACAAAATTTTTTATCGTTAAAAAAGTTTTCACCGCATTTTTTTATTTTTTTTAAAAAATCATAGTGATATATAGTGGTTATGAAAAGATTTGAAAATATTCGGCATTTATTGCAAAAGCCTATCAGTCGTTCTTTGCATATTACACTGGTATTGAAGCTCATAATGATAAATATAATTTTCGTTATTATTGCAATTGATAGTTAAATATCACGGTATCAGTGCTTATCATACATTATCAGTAAGATTAAAAATAAAATATTAAATATATGATAATTTGAACTTACGGTATTACTTAATAATAAAATAAGAAAAACAACAATTTTTGTCCGATCGATTTGAAATAATTGGACAGTTACAGAAATATTTTTTTCATCAATATATTCATATTCAGAGAGGGCTCATCGCCGTAAGCAGACGATACGTCGCATCGGGGTGCCGCCTACTGGAGGGCACCGACTGTTAAATAGGGATAAGGAAAAAAGAAAGCATCGTTATTTCATATGGTTTAACGCCAAGGACATTTAATAACAATACTGCATCGAGCAACCAGATCCTCTAGAAACAGTATCAGACCTCTAATCCTAATGATTCTTTCTTATTAATTGGTTCAGTGGATCAGTGACCTAGTTGTATTAAGAAATAAGCAAAATACTGAATGCTAAATATCATCAACACGACCAATACCATCGCCACTTGGTGTAGTAATTTTTCGAAGAATCTATGGAAAAAATTAGTTATTTATTTTGATAGGTGGTACATTTCTATGTTTTTATCACTACTCTAATTCATAAATAAGAGCTTATTTTCCATTTAAAATCAATTTCTTAATGCTAAATCGCCTTACTGATTAATATCAATCGCATATCAATTTCATAAATTCTAATGATAAGAAAAATTAACTAAAAACCAGTAAATAGTCTTAACAAAATATTTCGATGGATTAAAATTAGTAAATATTTGAAAATAGTCTAATAGTGAATTAATTTTAAATTTCTGATTTAGTTTCATCGATATGCAAATTCCATCTAATTTAGTGTTAATGGAGAATCGAAATTCTCCCTTTCATTATAAATCATAAATTTTATGGAAATTTATTCTTATAAAGAATCTTTTCTTGCATATTGTATTCGCCGAAATGTCAAATTTCTTTGTTTATATAATTTTTTTCGAATCTTAATTTAAAAATTTTATTTTTTATGCTTTTATATAATTTATACTTTTTATATTTTTTCCTTTTTCTTTGTTAAATTTCGATAAGAATTTTTAATTTTTCAAATTCTATTATTGTAAATAAATATTTAAGAATATTTTTATAAATGATTTGCTTATTAAACGAATAAAGAGAATTTAAAAACATTTGATGATAAATGACTGATAATCGAATGATCTACTGTTGATATCAAATCAAATCAGATGTTGAATATTGAACACTGATGAAAATATTAAAAATTAATTTGATGATTGATTACTGTTAAGTTATTGAAGCGCTCCACATTGTAGAAAATTCGAGATACTTCATTTCACTTCATTTATCGCTAATGTGTTCAATAGAAACAGTGGCGACATTTATGAATTCCCATGTATTTTTTTTTTTAAAGATTCTGAGAACACTTATAAAAATTTCATGAATGCTACGATATTTTTAACCATGAAACAAAGCCATAATTGGTTGGCATCATAAATCACTTATTAAAATTATTAATTGGCGACTTCCCTCTAAAAATCTTTTTTTCCATTCTTATCCATAAAAAATATATAATTTAAACAGCAGAAAGAATATAACATAAGGTGGATATATTTGAGAATATAAGGCTGAAAGAATTTACTCATATTGCATTACAGTGTTACACTAAAATTGCATTAAAATACTTGGAGTTAT